TAGAATTTGTGACGAGGTAAACATCCAAATTTAGGATTTCAGCCGAAAAATTCATGTCCAGCCCAGAGGCGGATCCAGCGATTTGGCAACACCGGATTCCCTCCATTTTAACCTGTGTTCAATAATCAATCCTTGTTGGAGCACCTGGTCCCTCTGAGAATCGATATATTTCCGTAGGTTCAAATGGAGAAAAATCAATGTTGCCGATTAGCTTGATCCGCCAATGGTCCGACCTCTTCCATTAACTGGTTCCTCTGTGCGTCGAGTGCTTTGAAAATAGGTGGATCCAGAAAATTGGCGACATGTATTTCCTCCCTTTGAACCTATGTTAAATAATCGATTTTTGTCGAAGCACCTGACCCCTCCTAGTCCAGGTTCTTATGTTCAAAAAAAGCTTCCCGTGGAACGGTAAGTGAAGCAAGTGTGGAAAATATCTTAATCTCTTCATTTCGATGCGTAAAAAAAGAATTTCGATGTTGTCAAGCTCAATTTTGCGTCTAACCCCCCAAAATCAAGATGGCGGCCAAAATGGGGGCTCGGGGGGTGAAAATTATGGAATTTGATTTTGATGTCATGATTGGGGTCAATTCTTATGTAATTTTGGTCGTAGAATCCGAATTTGAGGTCCAAAATACTCTCCGACCCAAAGGGATGCCCCAAATCCAAGATGGCCGCCAAAATCTCCAAGATAGGGTCAAAACTGCGATACGTATGTAAAAGTGCCAAGTAGGGTGTCCTTGGTAGGGTTCTTTGGGTCGGAGATTTCACCTATGATGTCAAAAACTTACCACGGATCCATTGAAGCCCAAAAAAATCAAAATGGCGGCCAAAAGGGCTGCCGTTGCGGGGTGAAATATTTTGTTGAGGCAAATATCGTCGAATGAGGTGTCACTGTATAGGTTTTTTGGGTTGTAGATTCCAAAAATGAGGTCCAAATAACAAAATAAGCTGATAGAAGTTCTCCAAAAGCCAAAATGGCGGCCATAATGGCTGCCGCCCAGGCATTGAACGCGTTTGAACAGTAGGGTGTCCCATTTTGGACGTTACAAAAAAAAAAATTGCGAAATCCAACAGAGATACCTGCCAAAAAGTTGTCTCATAGTTAGAAAAAAAAGCACAAAAAAATCTCAGGGTCGTAGCTAAAGTTTGAGTGGTCCCGCAAGGTACTTAAGATGTTTCACCGATTCCTCATCTTGGCAATCTTGGCGATCTTGCAGATTTTTTTTCGGCAAATGCAATCGAGGTAAAAAGTCGCAAATGCGGATAATGAGACTTCTGATACTATATTTTAAGAGAAAAATAACGGTTTGGACCCACGAGGATCAGAATCCCTCGTTCTTAGCTCTCAAAATGCTAAAATCAGCGATTTTAGCATTTTGTAGTCAAACCGCTGCTCGACCGTCGCTCGACTTAAATGTCGCGGCATTTGACGCGCTGTTTCACAATGATCCCATTGTAGGAGTAAAAAGTCCTTCAAGTATGTTCATTAGAGGTGTAAGAGGGTCACTTTGGCCAATTTTTGTTGCTTTTAAACATTGAGCTCATTGTTTAAAATGTTTTTTGTTTTTTGTTTTGTTAATATAATTTTCCTGTTTTTCATCATTTTTTAAAATGGTTTAAAAAGGGCGACTCATCTTACACCAAAATTGAACTCCTTTGGCGAACAATATACGTAGATGGTCAAATACTTCCTCCAAAACAGTTTTTGGATTCAAAGCCTCCCAAAAAAGCCGATGTTGCCATATTTTATCCCCGGAAAACACAAAAAACCGAGTACCTATTTCAGTATTTGGAGGCTGTTCCTCACCGAGCTCATTGAGCAAATTTCAGCAAACCTTGAATTTTCATACGTTATGACCAGATTACTAGTGATTATGTACATGTGTTTATCTATACAGCCTCCCACCGCGGCGCGACGTTGCCACATACCATCGATAAAATTCGATGGAAATCCGCGTTTCCTTAGATTTGAGCCACTTTTTTCGGATATTGCACATGGAATACTTATGTAAAACTTAAAATGCAGTATTCAGAGATGGAAGGGGATCATACCTTGTGGCAATAATCATTATTTTAAATCCTGCGCTTATTGACGACCCATTTCTTACGAATTCTAAGCATGATGTTTGTGATGTCTCCAAATCTTAGGGAGTGCAAACTCCTTGAAGGACTTTGGGAGGGTAGAGGAATTTCCACTTTGCGGTTTGAGAAAAAAATGGGGAAATTGCGAGGCAGCATTCTTAGCAATCGGTACCCGTCCAAAAGGACGGGGGTGGGGGGGAGGGCTAGGTTTAAGGGTGGGCAAAAATTCAGCATTGAGAACCCGTGTTTTTGAAATGTGGCACTGTTTCTTTTTGGTCCTCAGATCACGGTCAATGTTTGAAAGTCGCATCCTCGTGCACAATCTATCATGACTAGAAATCGTAGGAAATGGGTCGTCAATAAGCGCAGGGTCTTAAAATAATAGATATTGGCACAAGGTATGATCCCCCTCTATCTCCACGGAAAAAACGAGTTTAGGGTTGGGACCTGCGGGGCAGGGCCGGCCCTACATCCGGGGTAGGTAAAATTGCTTCACCTAAACATCGAAGGGGCAGGCCCATGCTGAAGTTAAGGTTCAGCCCTACCTGCCTCAGGGCCTAGTCCTACCTGAGGCGGGGCCGAGCACTAACCACATAGGGCTGGGCCCTGGAGAAGGTAGGACTGGGTCCTGAAGAAGGCAGGGCTGGACCCTGCAATGCAGGAAGGACTGGACCCCCTAAAAAAGAATTCGAGGATGTTACTCTACTTATGCGAGCATATTTAGCGCGCTCTATGCACTGTTCTATGAAGTACTCACACAAAATCGGAGGGACTGTATTTTGGATCAGTTTGAACATTGAATGCAAAGAAATAGTAAATTTTAAAAAAGCCTGAATTAAGGGCCATTTAAATAATTCTTAGCTCAATTTCGATGGCATATTCAGAATCTACATGAAAAAGTGGTCTAGAAATACTCTTTCAAAGCATGATGGATTGATAAAGAGTCTCGCTATGGAGAGTCAAAGAGAGGAGAGTCGAGAAAATGAGAATCGCTAAAACGGGCTGTTTTGAATACCGCTAAAATTCACCCCATCTTAGGGGGTCGATATCTCGCGAACGGGGCGTCAGATGGGAAAACCCTTCAAAATTGGTTTCTTAATATGATGTAAAGACCCCGTACACCAATTTTCAACCAAATCGGAGGGGGTCGAGTTTTGAGCTTGGTTGCGTTGACGTGGAATGACCCATATGTATTCCATGTGCAATATCCGAAAAAAGTGGCTCAAATCTAAGGAAACGCGGATTTCCATCGAATTTTATCGATGGTATGTGGCAACGTCGCGCCGCGGTGGGAGGCTGTATAGATAAACACATGTACATAATCACTAGTAATCTGGTCATAACGTATGAAAATTCAAGGTTTGCTGAAATTTGCTCAATGAGCTCGGTGAGGAACAGCCTCCAAATACTGAAATAGGTACTCGGTTTTTTGTGTTTTCCGGGGATAAAATATGGCAACATCGGCTTTTTTGGGAGGCTTTGAATCCAAAAACTGTTTTGGAGGAAGTATTTGACCATCTACGTATATTGTTCGCCAAAGGAGTTCAATTTTGGTGTAAGATGAGTCGCCCTTTTTAAACCATTTTAAAAAATGATGAAAAACAGGAAAATTATATTAACAAAACAAAAAACAAAAAACATTTTAAACAATGAGCTCAATGTTTAAAAGCAACAAAAATTGGCCAAAGTGACCCTCTTACACCTCTAATGAACATACTTGAAGGACTTTTTACTCCTACAATGGGATCATTGTGAAACAGCGCGTCAAATGCCGCGACATTTAAGTCGAGCGACGGTCGAGCAGCGGTTTGACTACAAAATGCTAAAATCGCTGATTTTAGCATTTTGAGAGCTAAGAACGAGGGATTCTGATCCTCGTGGGTCCAAACCGTTATTTTTCTCTTAAAATATAGTATCAGAAGTCTCATTATCCGCATTTGCGACTTTTTACCTCGATTGCATTTGCCGAAAAAAAATCTGCAAGATCGCCAAGATTGCCAAGATGAGGAATCGGTGAAACATCTTAAGTACCTTGCGGGACCACTCAAACTTTAGCTACGACCCTGAGATTTTTTTGTGCTTTTTTTTCTAACTATGAGACAACTTTTTGGCAGGTATCTCTGTTGGATTTCGCAATTTTTTTTTTTGTAACGTCCAAAATGGGACACCCTACTGTTCAAACGCGTTCAATGCCTGGGCGGCAGCCATTATGGCCGCCATTTTGGCTTTTGGAGAACTTCTATCAGCTTATTTTGTTATTTGGACCTCATTTTTGGAATCTACAACCCAAAAAACCTATACAGTGACACCTCATTCGACGATATTTGCCTCAACAAAATATTTCACCCCGCAACGGCAGCCCTTTTGGCCGCCATTTTGATTTTTTTGGGCTTCAATGGATCCGTGGTAAGTTTTTGACATCATAGGTGAAATCTCCGACCCAAAGAACCCTACCAAGGACACCCTACTTGGCACTTTTACATACGTATCGCAGTTTTGACCCTATCTTGGAGATTTTGGCGGCCATCTTGGATTTGGGGCATCCCTTTGGGTCGGAGAGTATTTTGGACCTCAAATTCGGATTCTACGACCAAAATTACATAAGAATTGACCCCAATCATGACATCAAAATCAAATTCCATAATTTTCACCCCCCGAGCCCCCATTTTGGCCGCCATCTTGATTTTGGGGGGTTAGACGCAAAATTGAGCTTGACAACATCGAAATTCTTTTTTTACGCATCGAAATGAAGAGATTAAGATATTTTCCACACTTGCTTCACTTACCGTTCCACGGGAGTACATAAGAACCTGGACTATCCGGGAATCGATACATTTCCAGAGGTTAAATGGAGAAAAAACAATGTTGCCAATTTGCTGAATCCGCCGATGGCTTTGAAAATGGAGGCCGTATAGTACCTTGCTTGACGGAGACGTAGCGGGAGTTGAGGGCCGCGACGAAGCTGGCCTGCGGGAGGGAGTCCTGGAGGGTGAAGAGCTCGTCCTTGGTCACGGAGTTGGAGCGCGTCTTGAGGACGGCCTTGGAGCCGATCGGCGAGAGGTAGCCGCCGGAGTTGTCCCTCAGGGCCATCATCCCGGAGTGGTACTCGATGGAGAAGAGGCAGCTCCCCGTGCACTTCTCCGAGAGCTTGCCCTCCTTCGAGAGGTACTTGTTGTTGCAAGTGTGAAGGGCGTACTTGCCCAGCTTCCCGGAGTCCTCCAGCCGGAACTCAAGGGTGAACAGCGTGTCCTCCCCCCACGGTACGTTCGCGTCCACGTAGATCTCGTCCAGGTTCTCCGACAGGTGCGCGAAACGCTTGCGTCCGACCGAACGCAGGTTCACCTGCAACAGACACAGAAAAAAATTCAACAACATTGTAAAAATTGATGACACTATTGTTCTCGCTTTGAAAGGTGCAGCCATACTACGTCTTTAGATTTTTACAATTTGTTACTGTTTTATCCAATTGAGGAAGGCTGAGTTTTCAGCCGAAACGTTCTGGTAGTATTTTACGTGAAAATCAGCCTTCACTGAAAAAGAATGTGGTAGATTTGACCATACTCTGACACAGTATTACGTGTATGGCAAGAAACACCAGACTCTACGGTAGCATACTATATTATGGTAAGTATCACCAGAGTTTTGGTGAATACTACTATAATTATAGTTACTTTCACTAAAGAGTATCACTGTGTAAGAAATCAAGTAGACTTATAGTAAACGTTACCATACTATTTTTTTCAGTGTTGTTACCCACTCTGTAATTTGATTCATTATTGAAAAAACTCAACATTTCCCGGAAACTTCGCTGTGGTCATCATATTACAGCCAAGAGGCCCACCCCCCAGGCTGATTATTGGTAGCGATAGACAACGCTCCCGGCAAAGACAAAGCTACAGACAAAGAATACGACGGGTAAATGGAGCGATCCTATTGGTTGCAACAGATAGTTGTAATTGACTATAGGGGGAAATGAAGGACTTACATCTGATGGTATCTCGTGGGTTGCCGTTGCGTTAGTCTATAACTTACCTCCTTTGTCCATTGCGAACACCCACTTCCACCAATAGGATCGCTCAGTGGCGTGGAGTGAATGATTGATTATCGATATTTCTCCATTTGAAGCTGTAGTAAAGAATCGATTATTAAGGTGTTCGTTGCGAACACCTTAATGGCAGATCAATCGATATATCGCAAAGCACGCCACGCCACTGGGATCGCTCCAGTTTTCATTTGCCTTTTTCGTCTATAGCTGCCTAGCAATGTCAATGATTATCCCGCAGGTGTTAGATGGTCACTTTTATCCCGACTTTGTCTAGGAAAGTGTAAACAAAAATCAGTCCTTCAGGTACGGATAGTTTGGGTCCGCATTACGGTATAGTTAGGGTTGAATTTGTCTCGGGGTTCAAAATTTCAAAACGATTTCAGGGGTGGATTCCGAATGGAGGGGGGTTTTGCGAAACGACGAGTAAATAAAATCGATAGTTTGGCAACAAGTATACGATGCACTTCGATGCAATTAGTCATTAGACAGATTGCAGGAAGATATTCTGAGAAATATGAGACAGAAAAAAATCGGAGATAATGGAATAATCCAACTCTGTTTGCAACCAGTGGGAAAGAAATGAGGGTGCAGCGACATCAGACAAAGGAAGAAAATACACAAGCGATGGAAACAATAGACCCATCCGTTCAAATCTTTCTGACGAGAAGTCGTAGATGAGTCGTTCACGTCACTTACGGGTTGGTTTTTTCTTATCAAATTGGGATTTGACAAAACACTTGTAATTTACTTTAGACTGAAGGAAGTCCCACAAGAACAGCATAATTTGTAATTGCATGGATTTTGAAAAAGAAAATATGTTCCGGTAGAGAGACCAACAACTTAAAACGGACAATGAAATAAGAGGCATAGTAAGGCATGAGAAGAATATGAGTTTTCTCATTTTTTGCGTAAAGAAAATAATAAACGGGGGTAAAAAAATTCCAAATTTAGCGTTACTGATTTTATAAACGGCCCCTAGTTAACATAGCTAAAAGCAGTTCGAAAAGAAGACACCAATAAAAAAATTGTTTTTTGTAGCCAAACACGAGCCTAGCTTGAGGAGGACAGATTTGAAAGCACTTGAATTTTTAAAAGATCTATTGAGTTATAAAATTAAATTGTATTAAATAATCCGTAAACCTACAGTTTCTGTCACAAAAGGCCTTGTACTCTGCTAGCTTGCGCTGACGGGAAAATATTAAACGAATTCGATAGTTTACCCCCTTTTACATTTGTCTTTAAATGTTGATTATGGTGACGTGCATCATCTAATAAACAAAATGGTTAGGATCTCTTGATCGGGGAACTGTCAATATCACCATAACTAAATTGAGATTATAAATGTTGTAGGCCATTAGTCAAATCATGCATTTTATCAAATGCCGAGGCACATAATCAAATTTTGACGGTTTACAAAATTTTGTAAATTTATAGCGAAGAGTTCTCGAGTTTACAATATTTTTGGAAAAATAATAGATCCAACCTATGCGCACTCTTCTTGTTCCTTCCTCTTCAAATGCCTCCAATATATTTAAATGTTAAAATTTTAGGAGATCTATAATTTTATGACATGTTGAGAATTTCAATGTAAATGTTCGTTCAGGAGCTAAAACTCATTATTTTGCCTAACATTAGGAAAAGCATCAGAACTTCAATCTAGGTAAGAATATTTGACTATCTGCCTGGGCATTTGTCAGAATGCCTGATTTTACTATTTGCCTGCGACTTATTATAAATGCACTAAAAATGAGTAGATCAAGAATTAATCGATTTACTTTTATGCTTTAAAAAAGGATACCGGCAAGGTTTACACAATAACGTCATCATGATTGATTATCTTTTCATTACGGCTGGACGAGCTAAACGAAAGAATATATTTTTTTTTTCGAAGCAACAGTTTGTTAAATTCATTTCAGGATTATGCCAACTTTCCAGCCGGGATTTGAGCTTAGAGCTTGGATCGTTGCGAGCGATAGATACTCAGAAAAAAGCAGCTTAAGTTATTACGAGGTGGGCGGAACGGACACGAGGTTCAGAAAAAATATTCGACGGTGAACAGGATTATCAGCTCGTTCTCTTTGCGCCAAATTAACAAATATAACGGCTCAGGCTTGATGCGACGAATGAAAATATTGATTTCAAACAGTGGCGTGAGATTATTGCAAATTGATAGAAAGCTATTACGTGTATAGATTAGTTGCTTTTTCTATGTTGCATTAAAGTCTCCGGAGAATCAAATAGAACGGAGCTGTCGCCGCTGTACAACTTTACGAAGATGTTCATGTTCACATCTCATGCACTCATGTCTATATAGCGGGCTGACCATTCAAATTGATAGATACATCCCTCCCTTAGAAGTGAAGTTTATCGATTAGGGTCATTCGATTCAACAATCCAGGCGCATATTTGTCAAAACGAGTCGGTCAACTAGCTCTAGGCGTAATTTTGCGCGAGCCCTGCGTTGAAAAATTAAGGGGGAAATTTAATTTTTTCCCCCGATTTAAACGAGATGATACAGAGTTGAGAACTTATTTATGATCATTTCATTACTTGTTGTTCTGACGGGAGCACGGTACTTAAAATGTGGTACACGTATGAAAAAAGGTGTAAATCCGTTTGTTAATCTGCGAATGGATCGGGACCGAACCGGGTGAAAAGCTGAAAAAAAGATGGAGGCGTGCTCAGTGGCCAGGGAGGCGGGGCACAGTGGAGCGAGACTTCCGGAGAGGTCGAACATGAATTTTTGGACTAAAAAACTGCGAATATTGGTGCGTTTTATTCGGCCACAGTATAAAGTTAAAGGACTAAATCTTACAGAAAATGTTACGAGAGATCCCAAGAGATCCTTTATCAAATCTCTACGTTAGGTATCAATAATGATAAGAGCAGTGGCGAAGCGTAAATGATCGATTATCGATATTTCTCCCATTTAAAGCTGTGGTAAAGAATCGACTGTTAAGACTTCCGTTGCGAACACTCTATTAATCGATCCTTTTTCATAGGTTTAAATAGCCGATCAATCGATTTATCGCAAAGCTCGCCACGCCACTGGATATAAGCTTTCAAAGTTTCCACATCATGTGTAGCCTCTACCAATTGTGCGCCGGTTGGTTACACGAGGATGGGCACAGCTCTGGCGTGCAGGGCGAAAGCCGCGAGTTTTCGTATGGTTATTAATTGAACTTACGCGGTTGTTGATACGGGCACGGGAGAGCAACATGACCGCACGCGGCGTATTGTCAAACTGCATCGGGATAGCAGCTGGATCTGAGCCCGTCCACGCTTGCGCAGAAATGGGAAGTATGGCGACTGCGCCTCACGCTCCTTCTGCTGCCGTAAGAGCCGTAAGTGCAGTTTGGGATGAGCCTCGAGAGCCGTAAGAGCGTGTGCTAACCGTGGATCATGCTGAAATGTGCTTGCGGCTCTTTTGCGTGATCGGCAGTATCTCCTGTTCCCGTTTTTCACGGAGCTTGGAAATGAAAACGTGGGCGTTAGAAGTCCGACAGAATCCGTCTTCCAGCTACGCTTGCCGTCTCTCCGGTATGACCTCGCATGCAAACCGACGAGTTCAAAGTGAAAACGATCAGAGACCCTACCACGGTGTCTCCGGACTCTCGGGTAAAAATTCCCTGATTTTTCTGGGTTTTCCCTCGCCAAACGATAAAAATGATCAAAATTACAGGTACAGATTGACGTAAAATGCGGGGGAATTCGTTTATTGACTAAATTGAAAATGACGGAACTGAGGTAGTATTTGTTTGTATAGCTGCGAAATTTACCCGAGTGAGAGGTTTAATCGCATTTCCAAATTTCCCGACTTTTGGGAAAATTCCTGGAATGCCCTGACTGATCTCTGACTCCTTACAAAGAAACAAGAAAAAGGTTTGGCCCTAAGGGCTCCATGGCCTGTGGATCGCAGGATTCGTGTATGTTGTCTGCCGCTGACGCCACTGGCGCTTTATAATTCCCATTCATTCTTACAGTCCTCAACTAACGAGCACACTCCTTCTTTTCCCCCTTTTCTGGCTCCTTCCAGCATAAATGGACCGCGTTTAGCAGAACCCTGGTAAAAATTGGCAGTAGAAGCTGTGTTCCAAAATACCATAGACCTACAGCCGGCTGTAAGATTTCCAATAGCTTTTATAGCCGGCAACACAATTTCTTATAGCCTTTTATGGCCGATGGCGATTAAGAAACAGCCTGGCGATAAAGTGTATGCTAATCGTTACTAATTCCGGATGCTAGGACTTAGTGAGTTTTTGGACTACCGCTCTCTTCTTGGGCCGAAGTAACTTGA